TGTTGGGTGACCAGAAACCAGAGAAGCTGGAAAAACATATTTTTTCTACACCTGTGCAACCACTAGTTAAAAAAAGTGCCATTTTTGTTGAGCGTAACAACTCTGCACATTTAACCATTATTTAGTTTCTTTATAGTGATAGCAATAATACAATGATAAAAATAATAGCAGCAACAATGGTAATACAATAATAATGAATAATAATAAAAAGAATAATCATAAAATAATCTCATTTTCACCAATAACAAAAACAGCAATAGATCTAATAATAATAATAATAACAACATTAATCATGACAGTATTATTCTAATTGTAAGTAGAAAACTGCACATTTTACTTTGCAAGAAAATCTTGACACACCCAGATGTCATAGGTCAGAAAAAACATTTGCATTGATACTTTTTCAGTGCAAACAGTTGTGCACAAAATCGAAACGCGCAGATAATAATTGTTCAAAGTACGGGTAATGAAGGCCTTTGTTGGTCAATTATTCAAGCCATTGAGAGCCGAATCTGAATAAATGAACAGTTTGTCACTCAAAGCATACGGAGAGTCAACTACATGACCCTGGAACTTAATCGAGGAAGAGGAAACATTAAAAACACAAACCTGCAGCCCGCTACGTACACAGCGAAGTTTACACATATGCATATAAAAAATTTGAGCGAGGATAAATAATTAACTTTTGTTAAAAAAGTAATCAGCTGCGTTATACATTACATGTTTATAGACAAAAAGCAATGCGAAAGTGAAAAAAAAAATCACATACCTCAGTAACCTAATCATCTTCCACTAAAACTTAAAACAAGCTGTTAGCCTCACAAGGCAAGTCTCAGGGTACAGCACAAGATTCATTAAATGAATAAGTACAGAAAAAAACCTCAATAGCATTTGTTCAAAACAGGGAAAAGGTTTTGAACAACAACACAATAATGTATCACTTTAGTATAAAAGTACTAACCATAAGTAGATTCACATACTTTGAAAACCACCTATAACATTATGTCACAATAAAAGTACTAACCATAAGTAGATTCACATACTTTGGAAACCACCTATAACATTATGTCATAATAAAAGCACTAACCATAAGTAGATTCACATACTTTGAAAACCACTTATAACATTATGTCACAATAAAAATACTAAACATAAGTAGATTCACATACATTGAAAATCACCTATAACATTATGTCACAATAAAAACACTAACCATAAGTAGATTCATATACTTTGAATACCACCAAAGTAAAAAACTGAATTTCACTGGGTATAAAAGAGATTTAAAAAAAAGTACAAATACAGGTAGATCAGCTGCATGATACCACGACAAAGCCAGAGCTGTTTATATAATGCCACAACAAAGCCAGAGCTGTAGAATGCCACAACAAATTCACATTGCACTGCACAAGGTACAGGAAGGATAATGTTTCACAGCGATTATAATAGGTTGAAATACGTAACTCCAAACCATGCCATTCTACTACGAACACAGTTAAATGTAAGTCACTCACAGCATTACCCAAGTGAAGGACAGCCGAAACTGTTTAAGATGGCCAGTCAGCCTTTGTTGAGGAAAAAAGTGGCTGTCTTAGACAGGTGACTGTTTTATGCGTCACATTATAATGGTAAAAAATATGAAAGGGAGGAAATGGGAACAGGCCGTTTGCACACATGGTTATCTTATAAAAAGGTGGAGGTTAGAACAGGTTCTAGAATAGGTGATCATTAGTGACCCTGAACTATGACCATTGACTATGGAATGTACGGTCCAGCAAATCATACTCTGAACACACTGAAACACACAGGCTATGTAAATGACAAAAAAGCAAGCTCAAAACTGGAGGCAAGGAATTTCACTTTCATTGCACACCTTCTTTGAAATCTTGCTTTTGGCCATATATCCGACTATGAACATAAAAAGATAAATTCATTCCTTACTGCAAGCCATAACATGTAGCTTGAGTGACCCGTGCTTTCGGGTCATGAGCTCGGAAAAAAGTCTTTTAATCTCTTCCACTCCAAAGTTGGCAAACTCACACGCATTACAATCTTTCTTTTTTCGGGGTTATTTTTGTTTTTGAGGTATCTGATAGGAAAGTCATTTCGCTGCATTTTGATAAGTAGCATTCATGAGTTTCCTTGAAAAAAATACTGATAACAGTAAGAAAGTCAAAATATGGCCTCCAAAATGGCTTGGCCATAGTGCAGAAAGTGGTCTGGTAAGGAAAGAGTTAAGTTGAAGCAGTATTATAAATTCAGTCAGTACAATGAAACATTGGAAGAATCTAGGGAGCATCCTGAAAGGAAAAGAAATGCAATAGGAAAAGTATAGGACACAGTCAAGGCATGGCAAACAGATCCCTGATAACATCAGTGTGACAGAGGAAAAAAAAGGCAGAAAACAAAATTCACGGCCACCTGAACGAAAATGCCAAGCTTAAATAATTTGCACTAATACAAAAGACGGCTTGAAAAAAAGCCAGAGGAAGACCATTGTCAAAACTTTAACAATCAGGTAACATACTACAGTCTCAGAGACAAAATATTCATAAGCGTATCTATTAATAGTGAGGATGAGATCTCTAAGATGGTTCAAGTCTGTAAAACTGAAAGGAAAAGATAAAAACAGAATTTGATAAGTTGATGACACACATGCCTGAGTCATTGCAATGCTATTATGCTGCCTTAGAATTACAAAGTTCTATCTGACATTTTCGCCCGTTTTGAGTTACTAAGACCATGAGGACAGAAACCAAATGTTTTATCTACTCTATCAAAATGGTAAGATATTTTTTGAGTCATTATCAAAACATTCAAAGAATTGCATTCGAAAAGACTTGACATGTTGTGAAACTCAAAATTTTTAGTGGCAAATTTCTCAAAAGTAGGTAGGCCTACTGAGCAGATAGAACTTTATAATTCTATGGTAGCGATTTGCCAGGTCGTCAAACTTTTATTACTGCATATATAGGACGCATGTGTGGATAACACGCAGGTAGATTGAGAGCCAAAACAGAGGTAGCATAAATTATAGTTTCTTTTTTTTTCCATTTCACACACATTTCCAAACAGCTAACATTAACCTTTTGTTTGGGTAAATTGTAAAGCCAGAAACTGTGACAGTCTCTGGAAATGCATGAACTTTGCCTGATTTTAGAGTGGACAAATAAAAGTTAGTTTTTGCTGACAAGACAAAAAATCTGTACCAGCTACTGGCAGGTGACATGAGATCACAACAAGTAATACTTCAGTGTATGTCTATTACTCTTCTTTGTTTTTGTTTTTGTAGAGGTTTTACGGCGCTCGCAACAGCATAAGGTCATATGAGGACCAGAAGATTAGAGGTGTTACAAGAAAGTAACAAACATAAAAAAGAAGGAGGGGAGATAAGGACGATAGATGTTTGATAGGAAAGAAGGAGCACACCGCACCAGAGCACCTGCCAACCACCCACCTATTACTCTTCATATCAAAGGAACATTAACAAATACAAATATGGCAAAGCACTGGGTTGCACAGTCAAGACCCAAGAGACCCTCAGTACATGTATAAATAAAACACAACAAACCCTATGACCCAGCAAAATTTGATGTGAAGCACACATAAGTAGGCCTATGTAACAAATCATCTATGAATTTATACTGATCTGCTCTTACTGACAGATTGTTTTCGATCTGTTTACCAAACTCTCATAGTATTTCAATAGCTCAGCCTTTCAACACTGTCGTTAGTTGTCATTTCTTCCAAGCCTCCCGTTCATTTAGTCTTCTCGCTACCTTAGAATCACCAAAGTTCTATCTGCTCAGTATCTAGTTTTGAGAAATTTGACATAAAAAATTTTGAGTTTCACAAGTCGAACTTTTCTGTATGTAATTCTTTGAATACCTTGGCAACAACTTTGAATAATCTTACGATTTTGGTAGAGCAAATAAATAACTTGGTTTCTGACTCACGGTCTTAGTAACTCAAAATGACGAAAAATGTCTGATAGAACTTTGTAATGCTAAGGTATCGTTCTGTCACAGTAAGTGGATGAGACTGTGCTGATAACATTCTTGTTTCATTTCACAATTGTTCCTCTATAAGTTCTATTTATATATATAAGTGAGACTTTCCCCAAATACAAAAAGTAAAGACAAATTAAATAAACGCATCATATATAGAATTCAGTCACAGATGTAAAACACTGAGAGGCAAATCTGACATGAGACAGAACAAGAAAAATCACAAAAGAAGAACAAGAAAATAGAATACAGTAGTCTCCCTCAAAGATCTCACCACTTACGATCCTGGTTCGCTTAAGATCCCATTGTTTAAAAAGAAAACAAAATTTTTTCAACACACAAGTCACCTATAAGATCCTGCTCCGATAGTGGGCCTCACCATGAGTCATCCTCAGTCCTACCCCTGATAAATTGGTGAAGATCCCGCATTTTCTTTGCTCCCAAGTACCAGGATCTTAAGCAAAGACTACGGTACAACAATTTGAACAAAACAATACTGGACCGGCAGTTACATCACTGGGGTAAAAAAAACCCTTGTTGGGACAAAACTCCCTCTCTAAAACATAGGCATTGTTTCTAAGTCCATTTCATAATTCCACCAGAAAGTAGAAAACATGCAACATCAAAAAGAAACTTTAAAAAATCCTATTCTTTCAAAAGAGATTGTCAGTTTAGTTGAGAAGACACCCACAAAAAAATAAAAGTCATTCTTTTCTATTCCAGGCTCAGACAGGTCAGACACTATCATTTATATCTCAAGGAAAAGCAGGATAACCAATTACCCTCAGTTCCCCTGGCTGCAAATGGACACAGGACGCTGCATGGTGGCAATAAGCGATGCCACATTCTGTAATATTGTCTGTATTGGTGTTGTATTACTATGCAACATCCAAGAAACCTCTGAAATATATTATGTGTGTATTGTAGGTCAAAGTTGGCTAAATTTTAACATATAGCATTGAGGTAAAAAAAAATTAAAAAATCACATCTTACTTTCTTTCTTTGTCTTTTTTTTTTTAAGGACCCAAAAAACAAAACAAAACAAAACAAAAAAACATTCACAGACTTCATTGCATATATGTTCTCTAACAGATATAATGACACAATTCAAAACTGTTTTATGAAATTGAGTCAGAGTTACAGGCCACAGTGCCAAAAACAAACCGGACAGCTAAAAACACCTTGACATTGTCATGTCCTATATGCTCCTCTAAGATCCTTCTTTTTCTTGAGTTTCCATCACATGCTCAAAGATGACATTCCAACCTCGTGTTCCGATGTAGCGGTAGCCGTTCTCCTTCAGGTAACTCACAGTATCTGAGAGAGGTTCTTGCAAGTGCAAGTGTTCAAAGATGATGTATGCTGGTCGGAACTCTGAGTCTATCCAGAACCTCAAGATCTGTGGGAGTAGATAGAAACAGGCGATATGTGGGTTGAATGAGTCAACTGATGTGAAACAATCATGCTGAGAGAGGAAACAAGTGTGCACGACTTTAGGATCTATTTATTTCGGTTTTGGAAAGCGTTTTATGGTGCTCACAACTGCATAAGGCCATGAGTGCGCAGGACACATTCAACATTTTCATTTTCGTAGGAATTTTGAATTTTGCGCGGGTGGCGGCCGAAGCCTACTCTTATAGATTTTGGACCACCAAGGGATCTTTAATGTGCGCAACTTGCATAAGAGACCTTCGAGTTTTTCGCCCTTATCCGAGAAAGCTAGGAGTTAGATCTTACCTCCCAATACATCAGGAGTATGGCTGACAGACAGTAGAAAGAAGGAGCCGAGGAGAGGCAGTAGAAAGGCTGCAGAAGGAGTCAAGAGCTCTGAGGAGGGGGCAAAGGGGAGAGAAAGTGGAGGCGAAAGCAGACAACAGAACATGGTTAGAGATAGGGAAAGGAGAACATTTTAAGAGAAACAAATTTTCCGTTGCTGTCAGGTTTCGAACTCGGGACCTATTGAATGAGCGGTGAACACCATAACCTCTTGACAACGAGAGCCCCTCTCCCATCAATCATGTAGCTTGCTTACTGTTACAGTATAGACCCTGCCACAGGCAAATATGTATGCCATCTCTGTGAAACAAGGAGCTCATCAAAATAATGAAATTGAAAAAAAAAATCTATGTTTTTCCTCTCAACGGGCAATTTTTACATTATTTCCCCCCCCCACTCAACACCTCCTATGTACATTTAAAAACACATTTCTCTGTGGATTTTACTGAAAACGTTGGTCAAAGTAAAACAAAAATGTAAATGTACAGTTTCCAAGGACACTCAAGCTTTGAAAGCCACCAAACTTGGGGTTTTTTTTTTGGGTAAGTGTTTTACAGCGCAACTGCATAAGGTCTTATGATTGCGCGGGACACATTAAACATTTTCAATCGGTAGGAAATTTTGATTTTGCACGGGTGGCGGCTGAAGCCTACTCTTATCAATTTGGGACCACCAAAGGATCTTTAATGTGCGCAACTTGCATATGACACCTCCGAGATTTTTTATCCTTGTCCGAGAAGGCTAGGTGTAAATCTTTCTTACCATAAGATCAGGGGTGGGGCTAAAAGACAGCAGTAAGAAGGAGCCAAAGAGTAGCAGTAGAAAGGCTGCAGAAAGAGTCCGGAGCCCAGAGGAGGAGGAAAAGGAGGTGAAGGGGTCGGGGCAGAAAGTGGAGACGAAAGCAGATGACAGAACATTGCTAGAGAGCAGGAAAGTAGGTGAAAGGAGACAATTTTGGAGACGAAAAATTTTCGTCGCTATCCGGATTCCAACCCTGGACCTATTGAATGAAAGGCGAACACCTTAACCTCTAGGCTACGAGAGCCCCCTCAAACTTTGGTGGTCATTTTCTCGCTTATATGAAACTCTGACAACAAGTGACCCATACTTCTTTCAAAGGCAAATGTCTTGACTTCCATTCAAGATCGATGGGTATTCTTTTCATTTAAACCGAGGCATACGAACAGGTTTTAAGTTAATACAATAAATCAAATGCCCAAAAACTGATGTGTGCCAATTCCACTGCATTGTGACATTATATATTAATTATATACATAAAAGTTGTAGCAAGAACGAGTAAGTCAGTGTAAAGCTACGAAGCATACAAACCTCAGCTCCCATCCCTTCCACATCTAGAGACAAAATCCCAAAGTACTTGGGGATCTTGTACCTGTCTACCAGCGTCTTCACAGAGATACAAGGCACGACGACAACTGTGTCCCCTTCTCTTTTTCTCTGGCCACGAGACTTGACATGACTCTCTGTGCCCTGCGTGGCTTCTGTGATTACAAACTCAATGCTGCCGTCATGGTCTGCAATTGCTGCCTGCTCAAAAGCAACCTTTTGAATCCCATCATTATATTTGTCAATGTAGCTGAGGAAAAGATAAATGTGGGAAAAAAATGCTGGGCCAAATTTCAAATGATTTCTCAAGTACAAATTTAATAGAACCAAATGTTTCACATTGAGGTAGTCTTGGAAATATATATATCTATACATATATATACTTATATTTCATACCTCTTGGCCTGAGTTAGGTCAAATATATATTATATATTTATAAATAAATAAATAAATAAATAAATAAATAAATAAATAAATAAATAAATAAATAAATAAATAAATAAATAAATAATATATATATACAGTCAAACATGTGTAAAACAGCCACCCTTTGTCAAGGAAAAAAGTGGCCGTATAACACAGGTGGCCGTCTCAGGCAGGACTGATCAAAATGAAGAAAGCAAGCCATAAGGCTAATTTAAAAGGGTTTTTGTTTTCTTTTGAAAAGGGGGTGTACGGTGTAAGAAGGATTTTTCATGTTGTTTTGTTGATTTGTTTTTTGGTTAGCTTTCTTTTAGCTGCTCATTTTGTTTAAAAGTATATATAAACGAAACATTACGTAAGTAAGACGATGAAAACTGAGCGCCATGGTAAAACAAACACACGGGTCTCCACCACTCGGAGAACGAGCAACGTTTCTGTCGCAAGTTCACGTCACCATCCATTGTTACTTCGTTACAGATTAGGTAAACAAAACAGTGATCAGTCACCTCACTCACATACGATTTGAGCACGAGTTGTGGGCGGGGTTTATAGGTTATGACGGATCACACTTCCCTCACCAGCAGCTGAAAATTTATTGTTAGGCCTACCCATTGGTCAACTTGGGTAAACATTCTTTGAAGGGACTCACAATAACGACAAGTGAATGAATTATAACTGCCTGTCCACAGCGTCGGGGGGCCGATTCAAAATGTATGACAAAGCGCCGGGCGATGAGTGACCACACCTGGCCGCCTGATGCAGGTAAATTTGAACGTGGGTTGATAAAGTAAGGTAGCCGCGGCCGCATTGGAGAGGTGACTGTTTTAGACAGTTAAATTATATAGAGAAAACGCAAGGGGGGAAATGGAAAGTGGCTGTTTGTACCGGTGGTCGTATTATACAGGTGGCCGTCATGGCAGGTTCGACTATTATGATGGGTGTAGGTGGGGAAAGGATGGAGGGGTAGGAAAGGAAGCGCAGGAAAGAAGACGAAGTAAATAAATAGAGAGTATTGTCTGGAAAGGGATGAGGGTGGCCGGCAAAAAGTAGTGGGGACAGAACTCAAAAACAGCTGGCAGAAAGTAACATTTTAAGTTTAACAAAGAGAAACTAATCTAGGGCACTTGAGACTGCAGCAGAGGCTGGCAGAAACGACCAGTCTTTAAATTGCTGAAAAAGATAAAGGAAGAGCAGGAGGAGGAGAACAGAGAAAGGAAGAAAGGGAGAAGAAGATGGAGACCAAAAAGGAGGAAGTTAGCTGAGTTTACAGACTAACATGTATTAAACTAGTATAAAAATAGCATTTTGTCAACAACAAAAAAAGAATTAAAGGGTTATAGCAAACTCTGATAGTTTATCAAATGACATATATAGAAATACAGTCAAACCAGCCATGACGGCCACCTGTACCAATGAATGTTTACCCAAGTTGACCAAAGGATAACAATAAATTTTCAACTGCTGAGGAGGGAAGTGTGTGATCCGTCACAACCTATAAGCCCTGCCCACAACTCATGTACAAATCGTATGTGACTGGTCACTGCTTTGTATACCTAATCTGTAACAAAGTAACAATGGAGGTTGACGTGAACTTGTGACAGAAGTGTCGCTTGTTCTCTGAGTGGTGGTGACCGATATGTTTGTTTTACCGTGGCATTCGATCTTCATCGTCTTACATAATATTGCGTTAATTTTACCCTTGCACAAAATCAATAAAAAAAAAGCTAACAAAAAAAACTCCAACAAAACAACAACACACAAAACATCCCCCCCTCCCCCCCCTCCTTTTTACACCACCCATCCCCTTTATCAAGAGAAAATAAAAACCCTTTTGAACTTGAATTCGTCTTACGGCAGTCCACAGCCTAAGATCAGCCCCGATTTGGAACTCAGAAGAGAATGGTTTGCTCTCTGCATTTTCATAAGTCCTGACTAAGATGGCAACCTGTTTTGTATGGCCGTTTTACACAGGTTTGACCGTAAAAACAAACCACCATGTTTGGCACACTTTACGTTTGGAATATAGAACAGTGCATTGATCAGTGCATACAATATTGGCAAAAAAATCCAGAAGCAGAAATTAGCTTTCTATTTCATCAAACTTGGTCAAATATTGAGATAATTAAACATCTATACTGTGGCAAGCAGGTGAAAAAAAAAAGAACTTTTATATAAGGCATGGTGAATTGAAAACACAACCAGAATTATTGTGTGAATGGTGTTCCCAAAAAGCAATGAAGGAGGTAAAAGTCAGCGTACGAAAAGACAAAAGAAACTATGTAGATGACCCAGCGCGCGAGGCAGAGGAAGCAGCAGGGGCAGGAAACATGAGAGGACTGTATGAAACCACCAAGAAACTTGCAGGCATATACAAGAACGCAGATGTGCCAGAGAAGGATAAAGAGGGAAAGCTTCTCACAAATCCAGACGAACAGAAAGAACGAAGAAAGGAGCATTTCAAAAAGCTACGGAACAGACCAAGGCCAGAAAAACAGTTTGACATTCCACCAGCTGAGATAGATCTGGGGGTGAGTGAAGAAAAGCCTAGTTTAGAGGAGATCAAGGAGGCGATAAGACACCAGAAAGCAGGCAAGGCAGCCGGCCCAGATGGAATTCCCCCATAAGTTCTCAAGGCGGATATCGACACTGCGGCAGGGATTCTTCATGGAATTATTGGCAAGATACGGGACAGCGAAGAATTTCCACAGGACTGGAGAGAGGGATTGCTCGTGAAACTACCAAAAAAAGGAGACCTGCATGAGTGTAAAAGCTACAGAGGAATCATGCTCCTGTCCATTCCTGGGAAGATTTTAAGTCATATCATACTGGAAAGACTGAAAGAAGCCGTGGATGTAAAACTAAGAGAGGAGCAGGCAGGATGTCGTAAAAAGAGATAATGTACAGATCAGATTGCAACTTTGAGGATAATAGCGGAGCAGTCCACAGAGTGGAACTCTTTCCAGTACATTAACTTTGTTGACTACAAGAAAGCTTTTGAAAGCCTAGATAGGGACTCAATATGGAAGCTCATGCGCCACTACGGAATACCTGACAAATTCATGAGATTGATCAAGAAGATGTATGAGGAAATGAGTTGCAGTGTCTTACTTGGAGGGCAGCGGACAGACTCGTTTGAAGTGAATACAGGAGTGAGACAGGGATGCCTGCTATCGCCCTTTTCTCTTTTTATTAGCAGTGGATAGGATAATGAGACAGACAATATCGGGACAACGCGGTGGCATACAGTGGATCTTTCCAGTCAGTTGGGAGACTTGGACTTTGTTGATGACTTGGCACTTCTTTCTCACAGTCGAGCCCAGATGCAACAGAATACAGATCGCCTCAGGACCTTCTCCAATAGTGTTGGACTCCATATTCACACAGATAAAACGAAAGTTCTATGAATGAATGCAGCCGACGTTCCTATCACACTGCAAGGGGCACCATTGGCGGAAGTTGAATCCTTCACCAACCTGGGAAGTTTCATCAACAAGGCAGGGGGAATAGACGAAGACATCAAGGTCAGAATCCAAAAAGGCAAGAGCAGCATTCATCATTCTCAGGAATATATGGATGTCTAAGGAACTGGGATTGAACACCAAGCTGAGGATCTTCAAAACAAACGTGAAGACTGTTCTACTGTATGGTTCAGAGACATGGAGGCTCACAGCATCAGCAGCAAGGAAACTACAAAGCTTCGTAAATGGATGCCTACGAAGGATAGTGGGGATCAAGAGGTACGATCGAGTCACTAATGCTCAACTGTGGGAAAGAACAAGCCAAAGGCCAGTAAAGGAAGACATACAGGTGAAGAAATGGAAATGGATTGAACACACCCTCAGGAGACCCCCAACAAGCATCATCAGGCAGGCTTTAACGTGGAACCCACAAGGAAAACGTAAGAAGGGAAGACCAAAGATGACATGGAGGCGAGCGTTATAAGCGGAAATTGAAAAAGCGGGGACATCATGGAAACAGATAGAAAAGGATGCTCAGGACAGGCTTCACTGGAGTAATGCTGTTGATGGCAAGTGCTCCACTGGGAGTTAAAAAGGGCAAGAGAGAGAGGTGTTCCCAAGCCACTAGACAAATTAATTAAAAATGCTGCTAGTATTACTTGTAAAGTGCATAGAGAGCATGCTGTAAAGCATGGATAACAAATAAAATTACAGAGGAGTCCGATAAAGCCAAACTTGGTTAATCCGAAAAAGTGATAAATCGAAAGAAAATAACATTCTCAATTTTGTTTCTTTCTATTTGAGCAGCCTCTTTAAACTGAAAACCTGCTGAACCGAAGAAAATCTGGCGGCCCCGCAGACCTCGGTTTAAGTTAACTCCTCTGTTTTTTATGATTATTATTATTATCAGTGTCTAAAACATTATCCTTCACGACTTACTTTTTGAGATTCATCTTAGCTGTTACAATTTCTGTTGACTGGGGATCCACTAGCACTGCATCCCAGCCCCATTGAATGAAATTGAATGAATTGCTCGACAAGAAGCCATCATTTGCACCAATATCCACTATTAGAAAATGGTAAGGGAAACTCTTTCGTTGTAAAATCCTCTGATAAATATAAGTTGATTCCTTGGAGTGTGATACATCAATGCCGATGAAACTTATATCATTCAATCGTTTTCCACTCTCATCCTGAATTAGAGGTCGTCGGGCAGATTGGCTGTTGTGGTTGATGTACATACGCTCAATGGTTTCTTGCAACAGTCTCGTAAATACTCCGTCCGCTTTTGCATCAAATAAGAAAGAATTGATCTTTTTGTTTGCCATCAGTTTGTCAAACACACTGCTAGAACCCTCAGTGAAACTCGCAAGCTCTGAGTGCATCTTGCCATAGATGTACACAATGACGATATTAAATATTAGCACCTCAACAAACACGAAAATGCCAAAAAACAAGAAGATCCATCGCAGGCAGCTGCTTCCACTGGAAATGGCTCTACAGCTCCTCAAAGCCAGCACTTTCATCTGGGGGAACAAAGAACAATATATTTTTAAAATTCCATCAAATACTAACATATCTACAACTGGAGATATTTAGTTACTCGGTTGTCTCCGGCTAATAGCAGGCACCTCGTGTGCTATTAAAATAAAATTCGAAGGGGAATAATCTAGAGTAAAATATTCTTTCGAACTTCACTGAGTGTTGAGAATCATCTGGCATTTGATCTCCAGCATTGGGTTGCGTCATTGGGTTGCGTCATTGGGCTGAGTTTGCCCTAAAGTATGAAGATTATATCCTATGCTGGGCGATCAAAGACAGCAATCGTCATAATTACAGCATGGCCCTCTCATGGCTGGGCACTGGCTTTCCTCAGTGGGCAATTCTGATTTAAACCCTGTTCTGAAGTCTTTTTCTCACTGGCAAAGCAACAGCTTGAAGTTGTAAAGTTAAAGCAGGGCATATATTATATAATATGTGGTATTTGCTTTGATTCCATCAGTGCCAAAAGAAATGGGTCATTTTTATAGCTGAGATGCTGATTCAGAATGTGCACTTATGAGTGGGGAAAAATTCGTTTCTATGCATTTATAAAGCTTTAACTCATTCGGGACGCATCGGACGTATACGTCCGACAGCCTTGAACTCTGTTGGAGATACGTCCGATGGCATTTCTCGACCGTTGTATCCGCCCAAATGAAGGTATTCCAGGGAACAAACTTTTGATTGACATTGGTAAGCCATATTTTATTTTGTATTTATTTACTTTTGACCGTATAGCGTCATTTTTTGTAATTTTCTGCTGCGATTTATGAAGGCAGTCGAGGTGACAGAGAACACGGATCTTTGAGGAATACCATACAAAGAAGGACTATTCACAATGACTGAAACCATTTCTTCCCAGTATTTGAACTGTAAATTGTGTTGGAATGTGTTTTTAGCTGCATTATAGTTGTGTTATAACTTTATCTTGTTTGTTTCTGCATTTCTTCACTGTCAACCAAGAGGAAAAATAATTTTTGTTATAATCTCATACACCATTTTTGTAGGGGTCCTGGCAAGTTTAGGAATATATCCAGGCAAATTTGATTAGATCTAAGGAAAAGTCCAAATGTTGAATGTGTAGATTAGATAGTGAAAACAGACTTTAAAAATATCAAAAGGGGGAAAAATGGTCGACTTTCAAAGTTTACCCCCAAAATCGCGCACCTCTGGGTGCAAATCCGGTCCAAAACCTGCGTCTCGAATGAGTTAAGGGGGATCAAGTTAACTGGAGACCACTGTAACTTGAATTGATTGTTTAAAAAAGATTTAGCAAAAATATTTATATGAATACCCAAAAATTACATACCGGTAATGAAATATATATATATGCGACATTCTTGAGCAGCCATCTACCACCAACAACATATTAAACAAACCACAGCACAATTGGACCATTTCAACTTCATTCAACAAAAACAAAATTTGGTAGGCCTCCTACCTCCTTTCTACCATGAATGGCCTGATTTCCCAAGACATGTGATTTCTCTGTAACTCATCAGAGCAGCAGTGGCCATTGTATATCGTGGTATGATTACAACTACAAGACTTACCATCTAGAATTTGATGTTTCTTATTTCAGGATTTATTTAATTTTGGAAAGAAGGTTTACAAAAAAATCCCATCCCCTACCATAGCTATCCATAAAGAGTAATTTTCCCCTACCTCTATCACAAGCTACTTCAGTAACTAAATTTCACCGAAGGTTATTATTCTAACACCAACCCTGTACCCTATCCCCAGCAGCTAACTTTCAATAGCAAATCCTCCAGCTACCCTCAGGACAACAGGGAGGTCTGCCAACAAATCACTGTCGTGCAAAAACTTATTTTCTCTAGGTTTCTTGGCAAAAATGGCGTGGGGTATTCATACAATGAACACTCTCCCTTTCCCACTACCCAAAGTATCGTTTCTTAAAGAAGACCAGAATATATTACATATCCTATGATTTATGGAAGGTAATTTTGTCTGTTCATTTAGAAACATTTTTATTTTTATTTTCTACTCTACACATTATAAATAAATATATACTCATTTAAATATAACTAAACTATGGCTGATTCCCAATCTACAACATGTCATTTGAAGTCAGCCTAGCAGCTCTAAACTCTGAATTTAGCTTGTCAATTGGTCATTGCAACTGGTGTACTTCATGACATGACATTTGTGGTTTCTCTAGGCCTACTAAATATTGGATTTTTTAAAATCATGCAAGAGGTGCTGATGACCAAGTATTTTGACAGAGGACTAAACTAAAACTCCTGGGAAAGGTTTGAAAATCTGTCTGATTATAGAGGAGACCTTCATTAGAATTAAGAGTTGCAGTAAAATGCACCTTTCTTCCGTCCTACATGATGCAGATCTATTCAAAGCAGCTAGACTCCCTTAGAAATCGTTCACACTATGTCGCAGGCGAAATTAATATCATAGCCTACTATAACTATACAGTGGAATCCACTTATAACAAGTCCTGAAACAATGAGAAGTCTGTTATAAAGACACTCTTCTAAATCCCCATTTTTTCCCTTCTTTATCTTTGTAAATAAAATACTGCTATAACGCAAGCAGACAAACTTGCGAGTCGATTATAGCGGAATATTGCTGCTGCTGTGCACAGCGCATAGCCATTTATTCATGTACAACCTCGCCAGCTGAGAAACTTACTTATAGGTTATCTTGCGAAACAAAGAATGGGAGAGCCCACGTATGCCAACAATGAAGGCCGGATTGAATGGGGTGGGGAGAGTGGTATGCACAGACAAGCAGAACGTATCGTGTTATAGGCCAGCCTAGTCTGGATTATCTAGGCCTACCATGCCTCTCACTTCTCCGATGCGGGGATGGAGAGGTCATAGTGCTGTACTGTGATGGACGGAGCGAATGTGTGGCGTAGGCGGGGTGTGGTATGTTCCCATTGTGCACAAGCAGACGGAACGCACCACAGGGTGTGGTGGGGTGCGGGACAACACAGCGGGTGAGTTAGCCTAGAGAACTTTCTTCCTGATCGCTTACGCCCAGCTGTCAACATCGCTGGCGCTAGAGAAAGAAACCTGATTTTACTTTTGATCAAGTAAGACTTAAGGATGTTGAACCATATCATCATCAGGGGAGATAACAAAAAGAAATAAATAAACCGAAAACTAGACTCATAGATTAGTCCTACTTTACTATTTTCCTTGAATTTATTACTGGATCCCGTATAATGAGAATCCTGCTATAACGGACATTTGGCACCAGTCCCCTCCCTCTCGTTATAACAGGATTCCACAGTAGTATAGTATAGAGCAGCCTCTTGGCTCCAATTATTTTAGAGTAGGCTACAGTACCAATTGATTCTTGTGGCATGACGTGGTAAAATCAGGCGCTTGTCAATTTTTGGGCACACGCTGTTATTGGTGTGATTGAATTAAAAGCCTGTTCATTTGCCTTGCTCTTGGTGAAAAAAATACCCATATCTATGTGAATAAAAGTAGAGATATTTGTGATTGATGGAGGTGAGGGTCATCTGGTTTCAGAGGTAAAATAAGCGAAGAAAATGGCTGCAAAAGTTTGCTAACTGTTTGAATGTTTTTTATAGTGTACTGTGTATCTAATCTAGATCTAGATCTAGCTTAAAACACACCATCAAGGTAAGCCCACGAACTGAATAATCTATTGTCGATACGTCAGGTGGGGCACAAACAAGAAAATACAGCACAATCGATTTCACCTTGGATGATGACGAACGCGGCTTGATGAATGAAGGAGGGGGTCTCGTTATCAATAGCCTCAATAGGCCTATCAGCTCAGATTGTAAAAGAGCCAGTGGGGCGTCTCCATCAAAACAAAAAATCGTAGATTTAGATCTAGACCTCTAGTAGGAGACCGAACGTCTTTTTACAAAACATTAACACAGTTGAATCATGCTCTGCTCTGTTCAATTAACTTAAAAACATACTTAATGAAGGTTCAAGCAATTACATCTAGATCTAGACCTAGTAACACTGATTGTACTGGGTTGGTACCGATGGTGGATATCTTGATCTGTTCAAACAATCAACAAACCAGTGCAAGTCAACCAGTCAGTGCTGTCTCCTTGTGCTATCAGCTTTGATTTTACCATAATTATCTGGCCTTGCGAATTAAATTTACTTTTTTGTTTTGCCAAATGGGCAAATCAGGAAATGCAACTTGCAGGCTCTGTTTTGATGCAGCTTTGACTTATGATGGGCTAAATGTTTTCAAATATAGCTTTATATCAATGCAGAAGTAGTATACATATATTCCCGTCTACTCAACAAAATAAAATATGCTGTGTGGACAATTTATATGAAAGGTATCAATATTTTGGTCTTGATTCATAATTTCCGTATGCATTATTCATTCAGCAATTCGGCTGCAGCTCCTGGCATAGGAGGAAGTCGAAAGCGAAAGTAGTAAACAATCCCACATGCTCTGACTAGCCAAACCAAAACTGTATGGTTTCGTTCACTTTATATTTATTTTCATACCGAGTTAATACATTTCAAATGTGTTGTAGGTTGGTATACATGTGGTAATTCGTGAAAAATGGGGAAGCGAAAGGTACATAGTGGTACTCAAAACAACAATGATGTCCCTGACAAGGTTTGTACTAGACTCTACTCTTCTAGATCTATACTATAGATCTAGATCTATATCTAGATCTAGATCTAGATCTAGATCTAGATATAGATATCTAGAATCTAGATTCTAGATCTAAAATTTAAGTAGAATATAAGAATTATATATAGATCTAGAATCTAGATTTTCTATATAAGAATAGTTTAGTCCAGAGAGAGTTGCAGAGATTTAGATCTAGATTAGATTAGATATCTAGATCTAGATTTGTAGACTATCTAGATCTAGAGTCTATAACTATAAGTATAAGTCTATTTAATATACTGTCTATTTCGATCTTGATAGTCTATTATTACGAAGTGACTATTTCTCCGAACGTTTGGAGAAATAGTGCCGATCTTTATTTCTCCGAACGGTTTCCGGCTTCTGGTCTCGTGATTTTTTGCCTATTTATTGCGAGAGTTCGGCGCCAACTTTCACTCTCATTCTGCGGCTGCCTCTGGTCTGGGAAGGAACACCGCATGGCAAGCCCGCCTACAGACAACCTTCAGTAACACCCACCACACACCCACCACCATCATGCACATGTACACACCCTCACTGAACATGACCAGTGGCCAACTTTTGAGCGTATGATGAGCTGAGCTGTGGATGGAGAGACAATGTGAGTGAAAACGGGTGAAAGGAAGAATGTGTGAGTGTATCCACAGGCGACAGCAACTGCAAGACGACGACACCGACCCCCCTGACCTGGTCCACAGCTCACGAACGAAAGGAATGCAGCTCAGTCAGTGTTTTGCCTATATTATTATTGTCCATGGTTCGCAGGGTGCAAGGGAATGAGTGATATTTTCTTTGTGTGTGCCTGGAGGGAGGGGGTGGGGTATGAAAGTCATGCGGACGGGGATGAGCCGCGGGAGAGAACACGGGAATTGAATGGAATGAGTGAAAGAGAGGAACGACTCATGAGCCCTGGAGTGAATAGATCCTGTGTTTCTATTTTTGTATACTTTGAATTGTTTCTGAATAAAGGCTGAAATAAAGCCCGAAAAACAAACACACACTCACCCACTCCTCACTCTCCACTTACACACTTACTACCACACACAGACACACTCACACACGCACACATACATACACACACACTCACAGGAGCAAATTTTGGGGTCTATATATCTATTTAAATTTTCAAGAGCTAGTCTAGAGATTTTTAGATGAGTGTAAAAATGTGAAAAAGAAAGGTTTCACAACAGAATGAAATCAAAATTAGAACAGCCCACAAACAACAACAAACATTAACAAATAAATTAATAAGGGCGTGTGTCCACCTGTCCGAAGAAGATTGACTGTTTTAACCCTAAATGTGCGTAATAAAAAAAAAAAGTACAGGATATTAAATGTAAATTATGGAATCACACACATTCAGGGGCCTGCCAGTGTCAGTACATTGGTCGCGGCAGTGACAAACGCAGATGCCAGTTCTATGTGTCGTTATCAATAACCCTCCGTAGATCTAGATCTCGATCTAGACAGCACACGAGTGAACACAACGCATTACGTTTAAGAGCAGCACCCTTCATAGGCAACACGTCATATTTGTAGCGAAAAACTGTTTGGAATTGTAGCATTTCTTTATATAAATATTTACTGTGGACATTTTTTGGACTGATTGAACCATATTGTATACGAACAATCTTTGGTAGGCCTATACTATAATTATAGATCTATATATAATATCCAAATTTTGCGGTAAAGGATGTGATTTCAGAGTGTTCGGAGAAATAGTGCCCAGCTTTATTTTCCCGAACGTTCAGAGAAATAGTGCCTAGCTTTGTTTTCCCGATCGTTTGGAGAAATAGTGCCGGCCCTATTATTATAACGAAGTTTTGCCTGAGAGTCTCTGGACTGCCGGTCTAGCCGTACTTTGAGGTTTTGCCCTATCGACTCAAACCTGTTGAGTACACAGGTCTCAATAGATCTAGATTCTAGATCTAGACTTTTAGTAATTATTCAAGTTTAAAATACATGCAAGTCAGTAAGGCACCTTTTGGTTTTGTCTGAAATTCAAATACTTTAGGCATTGCAAACAAAAAAATTTCAGTTACAATTCAGCCATCAATAATAAGTACGGCCTAATTGTAGCCGGACTTAAGCTAGCCTAATCGTCTAGCGGCTAGCCTGCCAGTCTAGTACGGCTAGCCTGCCAGTCTCGCCGTACTTACTTTAGGCCCATTAAAAAACAGGTCTAATGAGTAATTATTCAGGTTTAAAATACATGCACTATCATTAAGGCACCTTGTTTCGTCTCAGATACAAATACTTTAGGTACTGCAAACTAAAAAATTATTTACAATTCAGTATGCCTTTTTTTGTTTTTGGTCAGACCAGCCATCATATTAAAAATAAGTACTGCTAGTCTCTTCCTTATGATAATAGATCTAGATAGATGTGACTCTTAAGTTGGATGGATCGTATGGAATTATTCTCACAATTTAAAAGCATTTCAATAGTTGACTATGTAGATGTAGAATCTAGATCTAGATCTAATATTATGTTCTTAACAGTGTGTCTGACTAAAACTTCATAATGTGTTTTTATCTTCTTTTCTATGTTTAGCCAATTGTGGTGGAAGGAATGGAGCACTCAGTGGACCCAGGAGACAGCAACATGCTTGTTGTGGTGCCCTCAAAAAAGAAAAAAGAGGCCAAAGTGCCTGTTGTGACCACAAAGAAACTGAGCAAGAAAGAACGAAAGAGACTCACAGACATTGTGAAGAGGAAAGAGCAGAAAGAAAGGGTAAGCAAGTCTGATACTGCAATGCATAAATTGCACTTTTTAGGCCGTTAAGGTATAGATAAGATAGTTTAAAGTACTCTTTGAACTTAAAGGGACACATCAGCTGTGTTAAATCCAGAGAGAAGAAGGTCCTTGTTGTAGCTTTAGGACTTGAATGTGGCCATAGCCAGACCAGACATGATTTAGAAAAGTATAGCTAAATTTAAAAGCTTATCAGAAAAAGTTCAAGTTATGACTACGACCTTAAAAGTGATGAGTTTATGCGTCCTCCCTTGGAGCTGGGATGAAACAAATAAAAGGTACTCTTCCATTATATACACTGAAAATTCAAACAATGAAGTGAAGATGTTCACTCGTTCATTTGCTGTGGTAAATGGACCAATACAATAGGCCTATTTTGTACCTAGTAGCGGTAAGATAAGAGCATAATGGAATGCATTGAGGGAGATGGGGCGATTATTTTGGAAATGATTATCAAGATTTGTTGCATGATGACACTGAAAAGCTGTTTGCATGAGTTCATTAGAGCTATGTATTTTTCTTTTTGATGATGGTATTTACGGTCACAGAAAATAAATAAAAAAGCAAGTTTTGAGTGTGAATATGATCATGTTTCAGTTTTATTTCATGTTTATATTTGTTTCAAAATCATATTTGGATTGCCCCCAAAATATAATTAAGAAAATGTTTTCAGCGTGCAGAATTACTGGAGTCCCTTGCCAAACATCAAGCAACAGAGGAGGAGATGAAAAACTTCACATCTATAACAGAGGTTTATTCTCAAAACTTCAAAAGGTACTGCATGTCAGTGTATTTGTTTTATTTTCCATTTTAGGTGATACCACTTTTGTTTATATACTTAATGAACTTATACAGTTATAATGATACAATGTTCCAGTCTCCCATAAAATTGTCTAATGGTCATGAAAATAATTTGTTTTTCATTTGTTCCTCAAAATCTTCCACCTGAAAAGCTAGTGTAGTTTTGCATAAATTGCTTCAATACAAAGTGAATTTTTATTTCGAGACTGTCTCTTTTGTCCTCACGTTAAAGATGATTCTATTTAGGTATTTTATCAGAGCTAATACGTGAGATTAAGATTTCTTCCTGGGTTGTCTTTTTGAACATGGCATGGTTTTTTTCATTGAAATTTATATTATTAAAACTTAAAGAATAAATGCTCACATATTCTTATGTGGAGCTTTCTCTGATGAATGTTCTGTGTCCAAAGTGTCTTTGCCTCGAGTGTTATATTTTTTATTATCATTGTGACTTGACTGACTTTTCATGTTTGTGTCTACAGTGACCCATCTATGGAAGACACCTTTGAAATGAAGGCAAATTCTATTCGAGGCTCTAAGAAGAAAAAGAAGCTTCAGACACCGAAACCAGAGCAGATGGAAGCCGATTCCACGGATACAGACGACATCTCGACCGATGAGGAAGTAGAGAGAACGATGGCAGAAGCAGAAGAAGCTCAAGTTGATAAACCTGGGACTTCTGATGCAGACAGTGTTGCTGAAGCACCTGACAGTAGGGGCTGCTCTGAAGAGACGAAGATGGAGCAGGTTGGAGAAATTGTCTTTTAGTTTAGTTTGGGGATTCGAAACAAAAATTATTGGGGGCACACACCCCCCCGATTCTGTCGGCGTTAGGGTTGGAGTGTCACGTGCACATACTGATACTATCGGCGTCAGGGCTGGGTGATTTAAGTTGTGTATATTTCAGTCTTGAACCTGACATTGACAGTAAGTTTTTTTTTTTTTTTTTTTAAATTCAAAGAAAGCGTATAGCGTCATTTTTTGTAATTTTCTGCTGCGATTTATGAAGGCAGTCGAGGTGACAGAGAACACGGATCTTTGAGGAATACCATACAAAGAAGGACTATTCACAATGACTGAAACCATTTCTTCCCAGTATTTGAACTGTAAATTGTGTTGGAATGTGTTTTTAGCTGCATTATAGTTGTGTTATAACTTTATCTTGTTTGTTTCTGCATTTCTTCACTGTCAACCAAGAGGAAAAATAATTTTTGTTATAATCTCATACACCATTTTTGTAGGGGTCCTGGCAAGTTTAGGAATATATCCAGGCAAATTTGATTAGATCTAAGGAAAAGTCCAAATGTTGAATGTGTAGATTAGATAGTGAAAACAGACTTTAAAAATATCAAAAGGGGGAAAAATGGTCGACTTTCAAAGTTTACCCCCAAAATCGCGCACCTCTGGGTGCAAATCCGGTCCAAAACCTGCGTCTCGAATGAGTTAAGGGGGATCAAGTTAACTGGAGACCACTGTAACTTGAATTGATTGTTTAAAAAAGATTTAGCAAAAATATTTATATGAATACCCAAAAATTACATACCGGTAATGAAATATATATATATGCGACATTCTTGAGCAGCCATCTACCACCAACAACATATTAAACAAACCACAGCACAATTGGACCATTTCAACTTCATTCAACAAAAACAAAATTTGGTAGGCCTCCTACCTCCTTTCTACCATGAATGGCCTGATTTCCCAAGACATGTGATTTCTCTGTAACTCATCAGAGCAGCAGTGGCCATTGTATATCGTGGTATGACTACAACTACAAGACTTACCATCTAGAATTTGATGTTTCTTATTTCAGGATTTATTTAATTTTGGAAAGAAGGTTTACAAAAAAATCCCATCCCCTACCATAGCTATCCATAAAGAGTAATTTTCCCCTACCTCTATCACAAGCTACTTCAGTAACTAAATTTCACCGAAGGTTATTATTCTAACACCAACCCTGTACCCTATCCCCAGCAGCTAACTTTCAATAGCAAATCCTCCAGCTACCCTCAGGACAACAGAGAGGTCTGCCAACAAATCACTGTCGTGCAAAAACTTATTTTCTCTAGGTTTCTTGGCAAAAATGGCGTGGGGTATTCATACAATGAACACTCTCCCTTTCCCACTACCCAAAGTATCGTTTCTTAAAGAAGACCAGAATATATTACATATCCTATGATTTATGGAAGGTAATTTTGTCTGTTCATTTAGAAACATTTTTATTTTTATTTTCTACTCTACACATTAAAAATAAATATATACTCATTTAAATATAACTAAACTATGGCTGATTCCCAATCTACAACATGTCATTTGAAGTCAGCCTAGCAGCTCTAAACTCTGAATTTAGCTTGTCAATTGGTCATTGCAACTGGTGTACTTCATGACATGACATTTGTGGTTTCTCTAGGCCTACTAAATATTGGATTTTTTAAAATCATGCAAGAGGTGCTGATGACCAAGTATTTTGACAGAGGACTAAACTAAAACTCCTGGGAAAGGTTTGAAAATCTGTCTGATTATAGAGGAGACCTTCATTAGAATTAAGAGTTGCAGTAAAATGCACCTTTCTTCCGTCCTACATGATGCAGATCTATTCAAAGCAGCTAGACTCCCTTAGAAATCGTTCACACTATGTCGCAGGCGAAATTAATATCATAGCCTACTATAACTATACAGTGGAATCCACTTATAACAAGTCCTGAAACAATGAGAAGTCTGTTATAAAGACACTCTTCTAAATCCCCATTTTTTCCCTTCTTTATCTTTGTAAATAAAATACTGCTATAACGCAAGCAGACAAACTTGCGAGTCGATTATAGCGGAATATTGCTGCTGCTGTGCACAGCGCATAGCCATTTATTCATGTACAACCTCGCCAGCTGAGAAACTTACTTATAGGTTATCTTGCGAAACAAAGAATGGGAGAGCCCACGTATGCCAACAATGAAGGCCGGATTGAATGGGGTGGGGAGAGTGGTATGCACAGAC